AAAGTAATAAAGGTATAAAACAATTTATTTTATAAAATTTGAAAACATTCATCCTGCAGAAGGGAAAATATTTGTAACACATAAAGGGAAAATGGTTAATGTACCTGAAATTTAAGGATTTATACAAGTTAGTAAGAAAAAGACAATTCTGTTTTTTTAATGAGCATAGGATATAATCTTCCAGTTTATTAAAAAGAAAATACAAGTGACTAGTAAAATATGCAGATGGCTGCTAAACATTTTAGGGAAACTGAAAACAAAATCCACTCTTGCTCATGCCTGCAAGTAGTTGTTAGTCTCTAGCTACTTCTGTTACTAGTTTGATTATTTATTTACTTACTACTTTATTTGTTCAACACATATTTAAGCACCTATTATGGTGGTCCCTACTCTCCTATAGACATGTAAGCAGAGGCTGGAAAAATATATATCAAGTTAATAGAGCTTATTTCTGGGAAGTGAGGGTTGGTAGAGTGAAGGTTACTTATTCTTCTATGTTGTCATAATTTTTTAAAATAATATGAATGATATAATTTTGATGGAAATTTAAGTTTATAATTTTTCACTGTTAACTAGGATAAACACACTTATTCATATGTTGCAAATCTTTGCAACAGTTTCAGTAGGTCAAGAATCAACAATCTTTTTCTTAAAGGGACAAATAGTAAATATTGTAGACATTGTGGGCCATTTGTCTCTGCCACAACTCTGCCTTTGTAGCAAGAAAGCAACCGTAGTTGACAATATGTAAACAAACAGACTCGGCTGTGTGACAATAAAACTTAATTTCCAAAATGGATGGCCGACCTCTGCTCTAGAGTATATACCTAAAAGCTTAATTGCTAGCCCTCAGATATGAGTGTTTTGAACTAATGTTTGGCAAATTGAACTCTAAGTGACTTTACCAAATAGGATTTAAGGATTCCTTTTTCTTCTGCATGTTTTCTTTAGTACTGAGTCAAACTTTATAATTAACAACTATTGGGCAATGAAAATTTATCTTGTAATTTAGTTTATACTTCTTTGTATACTACTGAAGTTGAATATCTTCTCATATATTAGAATTTGGATTTCTTTCTATTCATGTCTCTATCATTTTCTCTTATGTTAAATGTCTTATTCTTAAATATTTGAGAGAGGTTTTAATATCTTCTTGATACCAATCTGTTATAGATAATATGTATCACAACCCTTCCCTGCCAAACCTGGTACCAGTTTTAGCTTCATGATAAAAAATAGTTTTTATTGTAAAGCTAAATGCTTTTATATTTAAAAGCTAATTATATTGCCATATTTGTGCCATGACCTATTTATACATCTTTTTCTATACTGAAGTCATAAAGGTACCCTGCTATAATTTCTAATAGTTTCAATGTTTTATTTTTATAAGTAGATTTACCAGATTAGCCATTATGTATGATTTGGAGGTAGGGATCTAATTATATACATATACATACATTTACAAATGTATATAGTTATTTAATTTAAAATATTTCATATAAATCATTAATTTAAATAATGTACTGTTTAAATGTATTATTAATTACTAATATATAACATATTTACATATGCATGCACATATGTACAGATATATGCATATTTATGTTGTTGACTAAATGTCTCATTATCATTTATTGGATACTCCACTATTTCTGCATTGATTAGTAATGCCATCTCTGGCATATTCCAGGTTGATTTTTTTTCTGGATAGTTCTAGACTGTATTTTATTAGTCTACTTTAGTTTCTCTGTGCCTGTACTGGTACCACATTTGTTTTATTTGCTCTAGTATTATAAATCTTGATACCTGGGAGCGTGAGTTCTTCTAATTTTTGTTTGTAAAAATGTGCTTATACTCTGTCTCATTACTCTCCCATTTGAAATTTTGTATCAGTTTGTCTTAATTCAAAGAAAATCCTTTTGGGCTTTTGATTAGAATTACATTGAATTTATAAATTAATTTGAGGAGAATTTATCTTTACAATACTGAGCCTTCTTGCTTAAAAGGATGAACTAAAGTCAGACCTCCTGGCTTTTAATCTTAGACTTATTAACCCACCAGCACTATGAGCTTGGGTAAACTCCTTGCCTCAGTTTTCTCATCATTAAAATACAGATAATGATAAGCCTTGGCCAGGTGGCTTAGTTAGTTGAAGCCTCGTCCTGTGCACCAAGAGGTTGTGGGTTCGATCCCTGGTCAGGGCACATACCTAGGCTGTGGATTCAGTCCCCAGTTGGGGACTGCGTACAGGGGGCAGCCTGTCAGTGTTTCTCACATCCATGTGTTTCTCTCTCCCCTCTGCCTTCCTCTCTAAGATCAATAAACATATTCTTGTGTGAGGATTTTTCTAAGTTTTTCAGAAAGTCTTAAAAAATACAGATAATGATAAACTGTAAAATATAAGGATTAAGTGATTTAATTCATGTGAAGGCACTTAGAATCTTGTACATAATAAACACAGTAAATATTAGGTATTGTTATTTTTATCTCTATTCATTTAGGTTTTAAAATATGTCCTTCAGTAAAGTTTTGTAATATTCTTCATAAAGCTATTATACATGTTTTAAAAGATTTATCCATAGATATACTATAGTTTCTGTTGCTATTGTGAATAGTATTTTCTTTAATTACATTACTGAATTATATTTAAGTTATAAGTATCCAGTAATCTTCCTGAATTCTCTCATTAGATTGTCTTATCAGCCTAAAATTTAAAAAAAATTCATGTAAACTCTCACAGTATTTGCAAATAATGACAGTTTTCTCTTTTTAAGTACTTTGTTTTTTCTTTGTATTGTGTAAGAGCTCTAATACATCTTTGAATAAGAAGCAGTGATACTGTTCTTCTTTGTCTTCTCTCGACTTTAAAAGGTATTCTGTAATTTCACCATTAAGTATTTTATTTACTCAAAGTTTATGATAAATACTCTTTATCAAGTTAACTTATTCTCCATTCCTAATTTGTTGAGGTTATCCTGAATGTGTATTTAACAGTATTACTATTGTATTTTTAAAAATCTGTTGTTCAAAGTCATGCTAACTCCATACTGTAGAACAATTAAGCATATTTTATTGAACATCATTTTATAAATATTTAAGATTGTCATATAGGAAAAGAAAAATACCTCTGTCCTCTTCTGTTTACATGTTGAGAAACAGAAGCATAAGGTTGTCATGTCTGAAATTCTTCACCTCAGTGGACATTATTAAGACATAGACTTACTTGACTTCAGGATTTAGTGACATGTTGGAAATAAAGAAAGGAAGTGTTATGGAGAGGCATATTAGATATAATTTCCCTTTTTATCCTCTACATATTAAAATTTTAAATTTAGGACTTTATTGGTGGAGAAGTGCTACCTAATCAAAATTACAAAGCCAAGTAATAGTGTGTGTTCAGTTGTTTCTGTAAAACCAGGAAATATTTACTCTCAGGTTGTAGAAGTGGTTGCTCATCTTTGCAGTACTTTTAGAAAGCTACCAAAAGTACAGGCACATCTCCTTCAGCATGTTTTCATGATGTAAATTAGATTTGGTAAGATTTGTTTATTAGAGAATGTTATTTACCTTAAGTTCACTATTTTCTGAGCCATGATGGAGGGAGTCAGCATAGCTATAGTGTTACAAAGGGAGAAAGGGAAGAAATAAGAATTTTTTTTATGTGTGGGGGCACTTTTTTGAACTTCTCTATGTCATAACATTGGATAATAGCAGCAATAAGCATTTTTACTATGGTAATAAGAAAAGGAAGACATGGCTATTTAAGCAAAACTAGATTTGATCAAAAGGGTAAGTTTTATTTATAAGTTTTATAACTATAATACTTAAAGCTATTTGTTACAGTACTTTTATTTCTCTATTTGGGTATTTATACATGCCCAGAAATCTTTTATTGTTGGGGCTTATAATCAAAACATGTTTGAAACAACTCCATCTAGCTTATGACATTTTCCCCCCATTAAGACAATTACTCTTATAATACAGTTTTTCATACCTCAATATTAGGATGTCAACTAGAGATTTATTTCAGAAAATGATACAACATTGGCAGTACTTGTTTTTAAAACCTAAATATTTGATCTATCATAAAGCTAATTAAAAACATTTTCCGTTTGCAAGGTTTTTATATATAAGTAAATTGTTTTTTCTCACTTCCACTAGTATCTATAAAAATTTAAGCAAAATCCAGCTTTTTCTAAAAGCACTTTTTCCATTGTTTAAATTCCACATTGTTTGATCTGTAGTTACTGCTTTCTGTTCACTTGATGGTCTCAGGATAGTGGGTAAACAAAAGCTCAACCATCATTGTGATCCCAGTGCTGGGAATAAAAATAATGTTTAGCTACAGTAGTTATTCAGAAAGCTAAATCCAAAAGTACTACTGACTTGTAATAGGAATAACTTTGGAGAAGGTTACCCCTACTGATTAAAACCTGGTATTTATTAAAACAAGTCAGATGCTCTTTCCCTTTACAAGCATACCATATTTTATATAGATTTATTACATTATATTGACATCTGATTAGTATAATATAAAAGATTAATTTCAGGTGTAATTTTCTTTGTTGAAATATTTTTTTAGAATAACATAAACACCAAATTTTCATACTGTGTGCATTATACAGTTCAATATATATTTGTACCATCTTCCTAAACAGAGCTGTATATCTGTTAAAGTTAGATGTATTAAAAAACTGAACTGGAAAAGGACTCATGGACATGGACAACAGTGTGGTGATTGAAGGAGGGCAGAGGGTATAAGGGGACTAAGTAGAAAGGTAAACATACAATAAAGATTAAATTTGCATTATTAAAGTATTGGCACACAAAAAAAGTTAAACTGAACCTAGTGTCATCAGTGTGTTGCATATATACAAATATCTAACTTATAAGAATTGTCTGGCATTATCCTCAGGTGTTAAGTGGTAGCCATAGTATGATTATTTACACTAATGTCTTCAATAAAAATAGATCTAATTTGGTCACTTATTTTATTTTAGCGAAGAGTAACCAGAATTCAACAAATAGAGAAGGACATACTTCGTATACGACAGCTTTTACAGTCCCAAGCAACAGAAGCAGAGGTTAGTAAATTATCTTTATTGTTTGCAGGTATAAATATAGGTAGTTATTCTAAGAAAAGAAAACATAATTAATGTGGCATCATTGAAATATATATGTTCTAGAGAATTGAGATACTTTATAAGTTTTTTCATGAAATTAAATTATCAAAACCATTGACTACTTTGATTTTGTTATATCTTTAGGACAATTAAAAATTTAGGCATAGCCACATCAAAATTACAACTAAACAATAGAATAACCATCACTCAGAATTGTGTTAGCACTATCAAAATTGAGTTGAATGAAAATCTGACAACTGTGGAATTAAAGAAACCACATCCATCCACACTGGTAGGAGGCATGGAGACATGGAACACACTGGTCCCACATCCATGTGTGATTGATAAAAATTAGGGAGGGAAACCTCAGAAGCAAGGAGTCACAGACCCACAACAGGCCCCCCAGCTAAGGGTTCTAGTGCCAGGAAGTTAAGTCCCATAAATTCTGGCTGCAAAAACCAGTGGGAATTGAGTCAGTAGAAGAAACCATTGGAGTCCCAAGGAGTTCCTCTTAAAGAACCCACACATGGACTTACTCAGACACACTCTATCTGAGCTCCAACACCAAGGTAGTAGCTTGAGAGACACCAGTGGCATATAGGGAAAAACTATAGTTACTGTCATGGAGGCAAGAGCTGGGGGACAGCTTTCTCCCAGACAGAAAGGTGGGCAGAAACCATTGTCCCTTCTCAGAGCCCACCCCTGACAGAACCAAAGAGCTAACAGGCAGATTCTGTATCCGAGACTCCATGGACTTGGCTAACACTGTTTGCCCTGTGCTGGAGATCCCCTGAAATTCTGTCCCACCTAAATTATGGGCCCACCCAAACTGTTAACCATGATTTTTCCATATGAATGGCTCGTCTTGACTAATGCTTCACAACTTCCTAAATCCTCTCAAAGAAGCAACAGTCAGCCTCAGTGAGCCCCCAACCTCCATACCTGTTGCTAAGTGGCCCCTGACCCCGAGTTAGCAGCACCCAGAATAGATTCACAGTTGGGCTTCACTTGGGAACCTCCAAGCCCAGCACAAATAGCAACCATCTCAGATTGCATTATAGCTCATTTAGTGTGGCCACAGGCGGGACACAGGAAGGGGCTGACCTTAGCCCACACCACCCAGGAAACCCCAGAGCCTGCACACCCAGTGGACAACTACAAACCATGTTGGAGCACTACCACCCTGTCCCTGCACAGCTGATCCTCCATGGAAGGTGGTGGCCAGTGGTTACAGCCAGTCCCTGTAGCTGACTGGCCTGGGTTAATACTTCCCATTGACCTGCCAACAGCAATCAAGGCACAACCACAAGAGAAGGAAGTACTCAGCCCACTTGAAGGGAGGACACAGCTTGCGTGATATGGGAGGCTATACCACTGGACCCTACAGGATACTTACTACATTAGGCCACGCTACCATGACAGGGACTCATAGCAGCTCTACCTAATACATGGAAACAAATACAGTGAGGCTGCCAAAGTAAGGAGACAAAAAAACATGGCCCAAATGAAAGAACAGATCAAAACTCCAGAAAAAGAACTAGACAAAATGGACATAAGCAATCTATCAGATACAGAGTTCAAAACACTGGTTATAAAAGATGCTCAAGGAACTTAGTGAACACCTCAACAGCATAAAAAAGATCCAGTCAGAAACAAAGTATACACTAACTAAAATAAAAAGCAATTTACAAGGAAACAGCAGTAGAGTGAATGAAGCTGAGAATCAAATTGATTTAGAACATATGGAAGTAAAAAACAACCACCAGAACAAGAAGAGAAAGAATCCAAAAAAACAAGGATAGTGTAAGCCTCTGGGACAACTTCAAGAGGTCAAACATCCACATCACAGGGGTGCCAGAAGGAGAAGAGAAAGATCAAGGAATTCGAAATCTATTTGAAAAAATAATGAAAGAAAACTTCCCTAATTTGGTGAAGGAGATAGACATTCAAGTCCAGGAAGCACAGAGAGTCCCAGACAAGATGTACAAAAAGAGGCCCACACAAAGACATATCATAATTAAAATGCCAAAGCTAAATACAAAGAGAGAATCTTAAAAGCAGAGAGAAAAGCAGTTAGTTACCTACAGGAGAGTTCCCATAAGACTGTCAGCTGATTTCTCAAAAGAGACTTTGCAGGCTAGAATGAATTGACAAGAAATATTCAGTCATGGAAAGCAGGTACCTACAGCCAAGATTGCTTTACCAGCAAAACTGTCATTTAGAATCTAAGGGCAGATAAAGAGCTTCCCAGGCAAGAAAAAATGAAAGGAGTTCATCATCACCAAACCACTGTTATATAAAATGTTAAAGGGATTTACTTAAGAAAAACAGGATGAAAACTATGAACAATAAAATGATGATAAATACATATCTATTAACAATTGAATCTAAAAACAAACTAGAAGAACAGAAACAGAATCATGGATATGGAGAGTGTTTTGATGGTTCCCAGATGGGAGGGGGGTCTAGGGGATGGCTGAAGAGGTAAGGGGATTAAGAAGCACAAACAGGTAGTTACAGAATAGCCATAGGGATATATAGTATAGTATAGGAAACGGAGTAGCCAAGTAACTTATATGCATGACCCATGGACATGAACAGTGGTGTGGGGATTGCGTGAGGGAGTGGGGTGGAGGGTGGCAATGGGGGGAAAATTGGGACAACTGTAACAGCATAATCAGTAAAATATAATTAAAACATTTATAAGCCATAGATACAGATACTTTACTTCAGTTGTCTGTTTACTTATAATCAGATAACTAACTTAATTTGGTTATTATCAAGTAGTAAAGGAGCTATCTTGTTGTAATCCATAGTAAACATTGATCATATACATTATCTACGCTTACTCCACAATCCCCATTAAAATAATAGTAAAAGGACAATATGAAACAGGCACAAAGACCAGGGGAAGTGACATCAATAAAATTTGGGGAGCTGGAGAGCAGATAAACAAATGTACTATTCTAACATATGGTAGTGTTGACCCCAACTCAGCAGTAGGAAGTCATGAAGCAACTTGTTTTATACTGTGGAGTCTTAAAAGATTCCAGAATTGGTTATACTAGGTACCTCGGGTTGTGAGGGTTAACATAGGGGCTAAAAGCAACAGAATGATTGAAAATTTGTTAAGAACCTGGTGGAGGCTCTTAGAACCTCCCTTCAGCTCTTCATTAGCAGGGTGACTGCTTCTTCCCAATCCCAGCAAAAAATGAGAGCTACCTGAAAGAGTTAAACAGTGGGTCTTTGGATAGGAGTAAGCCTATAATTGAAGTTGGAGGTACCATACTAAAATCTAAATTAAGTGAAAATTTACTTAATGCCAAAAGTTTCACTATCATCCAGGCTTATAATACAGGCAAGTTTCTGGAATCAATTTCTATAAGACTATATGACTAACTACCCCCCACCCCCAAAAAAAAAGAGATCTAAAGACACTGACATTGGGGTATTCCTCAATAGAACAATGCAGCTGGACCACACTACAGGATAGCTATAGTTGACAAACTATAGAGTTTCACTTAACTTTTTCATAGGTAGCCCACTCTTAAATATGGATGGATTGCTAAAGACACCCAGACATTTTGAGAAAGTTTCTAATAAGAAAAATTTAATAAAAACAGATATTATATAAGAAGAACAAAACTTTTTAAAAAATAAAGCTAATATTTTCTCAGATAAGATATAATACATCAAAAAGGCAAGGAATGATAGTATATAAAAGGAACATTCAGAGATTTTTTTAAAAGAATTCCTGGCAATTAAAATTGTAATAGCAGAAGTAAGAAACCCACAAGAAAGTTTAGAAGATAAATTTCTCAGAAAGTAGAGCAAAAAGGAAATGATAATAGAAAATAGAAAAGATGAGAAAATCAGAGTATCATTATAATAATGTTCAATATCCAATAAAAAGAAGTTTCTGAAAGAAGAGAAATTCTCTGACACCTCTACTGGGTGTCCTACAATTCAGTTCAGTTTTGACACTCCCCAGAGTTAATGTGGACCCCAAAGGATGGCCTTCACTTCAGGCACCAGCTGCAAGTTTTGGGTGTCCCCAAGCTACTTTCACATTGCCCACCTTACCATAAATTCCACGCCACCTGGGTATACTACAGTGTAATTCAGTTCTGAAACTACCTGAAGGTAGCATAAGCCCTACAGGTCAGAGCAGAGTCCTTTACAAGACTGCCTCTATTTCAGATGCCACGGTACCCATCCTTATGTCCAGCTGGCTTTTAGCCAGCTGTGGGGAACTCCCACAACCCCTTTAGGTTTGATAATTCATTAAAATGACTTAAAACTCACTGAAAGTACTACACTTACAATTAGAGTCTTATATAAAGGATACAGATCAGGAACAAGAAACTAAAGAAATAAATAGGGCAAGATGTGGAGAAGGTGAGGAATGGAGGACGCAGAGTGTCACTGATCTCATAGAATATAGAGACATCACTCGCCCAGCACTTTTGTGTGTTCATTAGTCAGGAAGCTTCACTGAGCTTTGGTGTTTGGTGTCTTTATCTAGATTTCATTATATAGTCATGCTTGATTAAATAAGTGGCTACATGATAGAACTCATTTACCACCCCTTCCCCTCCCTGGAGGTCAGTCTGGCCCAGAGTTCCAACCCCCTAGGAATGTGGTTTGTCTTCCTGATAACCAGCACACATCCTGAAGCTTTCTACAGGCCCTCCTTGAGTCACCGTGTTTGCTCAGCCAACTCAAAAAATTCCAAGAGTTTTTGAAGTTCTGTGCCAGAAACACAGGGACAAAGATAAGATAGAGTTTATGTTATACCACACCAGCCTATAAATTTACCTCTAGAGAAACTGCATATTAAATTTGAAAGTAGAATAGTTTTTAGATAGGCAAAGTTTCAAAAACATGTATTTTTCATAAACCATTTTCTGGAAACTATTAGAGGATATAGTTAAACAAATAGAAGATATAAAGCAAAATGA